ATTTTCTTAGCAAACCATAAAAAACTTGTCATAGCCACTGAATGTAAGATGTTTGAGGCATTATAAGATTCTCAGACAAAGCTTCAGAATATATTTTCTGCAGACGTATGAAAAAGCTTTTAGCGTTTACTCATCAGTGTATGAGCTAACATTTGTTTTAGCTGCTATCCAAACATCAGCTGTCTGAGTAAAAGACTGAATGAAATTACTGCAAGAGTTTCTAACACTGTCAAGAAAAATATTGTAGAAAGAAAAAAAATAACGTTCTCCCGTTGACTTTGAATCTACAGCATTCAACATACTGTAATTGTGGAAAAACATGTTGGATATTTGTTCCTTAAAGGAATGCATGTTGCCTTCATGATGGCCACCACAGCCAGAACGCCTGAAGTTACGTTAGATATGTAGAAAAGGGTAGTTTTAGGGTTACCAGCTACACTCTAATCACAAACTGTCCCATAGCTAAGGCTAAAAACAGAAAAAAAACACATAATGCACCACTGATTTCTAGAGCTAACCCTGAGAGTTAACACAAACTGAGGCTGATGAGGAGATGAGAAACTGTTGGGCTAAACATCACAGGGAGCAGGTGAGTCAGGCGATGGCAGGACTGACAGAAAAAGTACTAACCGCGGGAAAAGTGGCTGTTGGCACAAAGGAGAACACAACYTTGATCACATGAAAACACAAGTACCAGAACTAAACACAATAATCAGAAAACACAGAAATAAAACATGATGACTAAAAAGAATAAGCTTAAAACATAAAAGACTATCAAAAAACCTGAAGAAAATTACAGCTAAACAGATGTGAAAGGGATTCATTCTAAAGAATTCCCAGCATACCGTTTGSTTCTGAACAACTGCAACATTTTTCAGCACTGAGTTGTTTCAGAGGGCAGAAATTCACTTCTAAATGGACCCTAGTCCAAGCAGTGTTCAGATRAACTCCTCCATGATAACTTCACCTGATTCTCCAAACTGATACCATTCCGAGTGCAGTCTAAGATGCAGACTTGTCCACAAGCCTTCTTCAAACAAAACTGAACCATCTCTTTAAGCACATACAGTATAGACGTTTCAGCTGAAAATACGATGCCTTTATGTTAGACTGTCACAATGTGAGGAGGCACCAAAAGCAGACASATTCTTACTTACATTAGAATGTATTTCCTATAAATACTGAGAGACAGGTAAAGAACGTTTAAGAAACGTAATGCAGTTGAAAGTTTATGAAGGGGGGGGGGGGGACTCTTAAGTTTTGCCACTCTGAAGTGATTGCTGTCCTGACCTCCAGAAGAAGACTGGACCAGAGCTCAGGCCAGCAAACACACAATATTCTGATGTTTTCAGTCAAAAACGAGGAGCAACTAGAAGACCTTGATCAAAAATCCTTAGGATAAAGRGTGAGGAGTCAAAACACCACTGATGTAAGTGGAAGCCTGATAGTTCATTGTTTTGTAGAAGAGAAAAAGGATTTTTCAGTTGAACTGTGAATTCAAAGTGAGCACTTGATGGTTTGCGGCTGGGATGAAAATCAGCTCCTCCAAACCTGAGGCTGTGGTTCTCTATTGGTAAAAGGTTTAGGGTGAATTGTATTTCAGGTTGGAGAGACAASTTTACATTTGTCTGCAGTTCTGAGGGATTTTTTTTCTGTTGTCTGTTGTGATAAAAAAAAGAGCTGAACTGAACGGCATACAGCATAAGCTTTAAAGGGACAGTATTATGTGTTTCTTAGGCATAGAGTTCAGTTCTTTACCAAAATAAAGCAACTATATCACATTCAGTTGTTATGAAAATGCTGTCTATACTGTATGTATAAATCAAAAATTAATTTGACTTCTCATCATAGCCGTTTGTAAATGCCTTGAAATTGGCCTCTGTCTCTTTAAGAACCTCCTGCTTCCGTCACGCACATCACAACAATGCTTCATGCCATTTACAACCGGTCTTAACGTTGTATTTAGTTGTAAAAATAATAAAAATAGCAGCAACATTATACAATATCAATTTTGGAAAATAGCAACTCAGGATACAATTGAACTGAAGAAATTTTGTAACTGATTAATTGAATATTAGATTCAGTTTTGTATTTTATACTTTCTGATCATTTCAGCRTGTAAGGTTAAAACAGACAAAGAGTTGCTGTGTTATCATGTGTTCTTTCTTTTAGCCTAAACAAAAATGAGTGACGTTCTGACGTCTGACGTAAAAGATAATACAGTACCTCCAAGGGTGTAACCAGGAAGAGATGAACATTATAAGCTCAATTCATTATTATAGRAYTAGGAAGTTGTCAGTGTTTTMCAGAGTGTCTGCTCAGAGCAGAGCTCCCGTGTTTGTTTTAATTCAGCCCAAGGTTGTACACTGAGGCCTYTGCTGCTCAGTGCTGAATGAACCTGATTGGATCCCAGTTCGGTTGTGAAATATTGAACAGCTCTAATRGTTTGGACTTCAAATATCTGTATTAAAAATCTCTTTAACAAAATTAGAGGTGAAAAAACTATTTGCTGGAAATGGTCCAGTTGGAATAGAGCTAGAGTGCTGGAAAAGTGTAGGACTTTATAAAGACATATACAGGATTCTCTGTAACTGCTTTCACAGTTAGATTGTGTATTTTGGTCCGAACGTCAAATTTTAAAATGATTTATTAAATGTTCAGCACTCTTCCATCAAGTACAGTTAGGATATCGTAAATGGATTTTAAACAATTTAGAGGTTTTTTATGTTTTCAACAGCATATAGAAGAATGTGGAGCTGATTTTATTCAATATTTGTGTTTCCCAACCAAAAAGAGAACACAACACGTATTATAAATGTATTTTTCTGCTCCTCTGCAACAATGCCTCCAATCTGACCCCACATAGTATGCTGCTGTAGTCATCTTTGCAAATGTCAAACATACAAAAAAGACAATGTGTGAGCAACATCCTGCTGGTTCCATCTTCACAAGTGAAGGCTTTGTGCACTACTGGGTTTCTAAATGTCTGTTGCAGTTGGTGATCCAAAAATATAACTCATATCGAGAGTTCAGTGTGAGCAAAAGCAATCTAAAGTGTTCATCCTGCCACTTGTTCTTTTCTTTCTCTGTGACCATCTGTCCTTGACAGCTAGCTCAGTCTGACAGATGCATTTTCAGGAGGTGATAATAATGATAATTATTTGTACTTATATTTTTAACAAATTAGGAAAAAACAGGTAACCACAGAAGTTAATGCTAATTATTGTCCTTTATTTTTTTTAGTTTTAAAGGCCAAAACTAAATTTAAAGCAAAAGCCCATGTGAACTTCATGTGGAAACATGTTAACATGTGAAATTAATCTTTTGTCTGTGCATCTCATGTGATTTTGGAACATTTTCAACATATTATATCATAGGTGATGTCACACATGGTCTCATGCAGGGGCAATTCTAGGAGCTGACCTTTGGGGGCTCAGCCCCCAGCAAATTTTCTAAATGTTCCCCCYGAAAACCTTGTAAACAATCTACTTAAAACTATACTTGGTCCAGCCATTTCAAAAATCATTTTATTAAATTCATTGGYATCATGAAACAACCTTAAAATCAGTATATTGTGAAGGTAAAACACTAAAAAAGTAGTCTTTGACCTGGACATATTTTTTACACACTGATCARCATGACTTAGTTTTGACTGCATCATATGATAATTTTATCACAAAACATCCTCTGCACTGTATAACAACTCATGCAGTAACAAAACAGGTTGAGAAACCAGAATGTTACCATCATAAACCTGAGTAACCAAGAACTAGTCAACTATAACAGCAACAACAAAACATTATGAAATCTTTATAGAGCAATGTACTTGTTGAGTACAATGTTCTCACCAAAAGAACAAAAAATGCTTGAGAAACTATGTAACTAGTAGTGAAGTCCTCTTATAATCCACAATGTATGGTGAGAGTACCAACAAATGTAAAAGTCTAATGCAACAATTCCTTTGTTGTTCTCTATCTCCTTGTATAGTAATGTAATTCAGAATAAAATCATTAAGAGGAAATTTACACACATACAAACAATTTGCACTGAGCTTCTACAATTTAATCTTCAAATGAATAAAGCAAACAATTTTTATTCATAAATATGACTGAAGTAATTCTAAGATAATTAAGGACTGAATTGACATGTTTCATATGGTATTATCTATTTCAAAATAGCATTGCATTGCAATATAATGGTCTTGACTATGGTTGCTCTTAGCCGTTAAGCTAAAATGAGTTAACAGAGAAATTAACTCAGAGACACTTCCAATTGTCATTTATAAAAAAAAGGATCTGCCTCATCTCTCCAGTGCCTCCACCAGTTGCCAGCATACTAAAGTGTTCAATTAAATTGTTTTCTTTATAACTTTTCCCATCCAGTGTAGATCAACTCCCAATGGCTCTCATCTGCCTGGGACTCATAGAGAAGGTGGGACTTAGCCAACTTGACCAATGAGAGCCTCAAATGATCTACTTTGACCAATTACGTCTGTTCATTTATGGCTGACAAAAGGAGGAATAAACAGGGGTTGCAGGGTCCTAAATACCATTGTGATGCACCTCCTTACAAAATCTGCTCTCTACCATATGCTACAAATTCATGATTATATTTGAGTTGCTAAATATGATTATTTAAACT